TTCTTAAATATCTAAAAAACATTGCAAAACTATTAAAATATTACATAAATTTTTTCTAAAAATCTGTAAACATTAGATACTTCTATAATATCTATTCTAAAGGTCATTTTAAATTTTTCATCTGCAAATCTGCTAGTGAGACAATGTCACGAGCGCCCCTACACCCCCTTACAGTCGCGCAGCTTAGATTTATAAAAAAATGTTCACCGTAAGTGTTTTCACATTTTCAAAAAGGAAGAAAAAAAAACGGGCAGTAAAATCGAACAGTTATCGGGCCAACTTTTAAGCAGTTTACAGTACATACAAACACATTTGTCAAGGGCTTTAAAACATATGTAGATCTCTAGCTTTAATCGCAAAAAAATACGGGCTATGTTGGGTGTTTTTTAACACAGCCCGGCATTTTTACTACTCTGTAGTCTGTACTCTATTCATATGAATTAAAAAATCTCTTTACAAACAATTCTTTAAATTACTATTCCTTAAAACAATTACAGGGGGCTAGTGTTAAAAATAACAGTCCTATGGCAAAAAAGGGGGGGGGCGTCAAACGCCTCCCCCCCAACCTAGTTCTAGTGAGACTTTTGAAGTATTTCTTGAACTATTCATAATGACTAAATGACTAGCAAATGCAAAGGCATAATTGAGCTGGTGGTATATGCTGCAAGCCCTTTCTATTAAAGTGAATTCTGAAGTGGTTTCAAGTATGAGTCACCTGACCTGGATATTTTTTTATTATTTCTTTATAAAAATAATTTATTTAAGAGCATTTAACGATGATAAACGACGACATCATTCTTGTTTTCAAGAAATTTAGTGCACAGTCCCTTTATTATTGTTGTAGAGATTTAGAGACCCCCTTTCATAAAAACCTACCTCGCCTCTACCCCACCCCACCCGAACCCAAGTCCCACTAGTTTGCTTCAAACAAAGCCTAAAGCTTAAATATGGTCAAAACATATTTCTTGTTTTTGTCCAGTTATAAGTTAACTTATTCAGTATTTAGAACATTTAACGTTACAGGATTAAAGAACATTAGCTCGGGAACCCAGCTTCGCCATGAAACAAAGTTCCCTTTATATGAGTCAACCTATATTAAACCTAGCCAATAACATTCCCGTGGTTCTGTTCTCCAGATCAAAATTTGAACAAATCGGTTCTGGGGTACCTGAGGTATAATCGGACAATTACAAACAAACAGAGATTACTACATTATATATATAGATATATATAGATTATAGAGTAGAGTAGAGTTCCCGACGAGAACTTTAGACTTTCATACTTTTATAGCTTGGTAATTTGAAGTTACTAACGTAAAATATTGTGTTTACAAATAAATATCACAAATGTATTTTGTCGAATAAATGCCAGTTAAACGTGTATTTCTGCAGGCTGCATGTGGATACAAACATTTTCAAAATATCAAGATTTTAAATATTTAACAACCTACATGTATATATATATACAGGGTTACCCACAAAGAATAAGACTTTAGATACGAATGTAAGAATTACAAAGTTTGTACACTTAATTACAGGTTGGTTCTTTAAAAATGCAAACTTGTTTTGGTTGTAAAACCATTAAGCATGATTCCTTTAACACTATATGCAATGTAGAAACCAAAATTCCACCTTTCAGATCGTTATACAGAGTTGTTATAGGATGTAATTAAAGTCTCCTCCAGTGCAGGTCTATAACCATTAGTTGCCACGTTTATATCACTAAGCCCAACTTCAGAAAAATGGATTAGAATACCAAAATACACAAAATGAGCTGTAACAATCTTTAACATAAGAAATAAATATTTTCCTGCTTTAGTCATGTGGTGTATTTTAACAACTTTTTTATCTATCTATAATTTAGACTGATCTAGTGTAAAATAATATTGTGTAATCATTTATAAATTAGGAAGAAACGAAGAACAATAATTCTATTAAAGATGATATTTTTAAAACTGAAGTGGTATTGATGCGACCTTGAAGTTGGATAAAAACAGTTACAGAGATATACCAGCCAGGACAAGGGGCGGGAACAAATAATAAGTTTTTTAACTTAAAGATTGATATCAAATTTACCAATACGAATTTGACTAATTTATGGCAAATGCATTCATTATTGCAAGCATAATTGTATATATATAACAAAAGTATTATGACATTTTACTTGTAATCAAGGCAGTACTGAGGCCAAATTTAAAGAATTTGAGCCGCGGCGTAAATTCAAGCCGCGGCTCAAATATGGTTGGTACCACTAAAAATTGTACTCAATTTTTCAAGATTTAAGCCGGCGCTTAATCAAAACCGGTTTTTGGTAGATTTAAGCCGTGGCTCAAATTCATTAAATTCGGACACTGAATTTCTGTTTTTTTATCAGATTAAGGTTTCAATGGTACCATTGTGATTCGGTCATTGTCATTTTTGCCTTCGCAAGGTCACCTGAAATTATGCTTTCAGTCCCTTTAAGGATGAAGTCAAATCTCCGCAATGTTTAATGAATCTGACGTTGATGCCCTGGGCCCCAAACTATGACCTAAACTGTCCTGCAATTTAACACTGTTAAATACGCACCAATTTTAGGCGTATAATAAGCTGAAGGAATCAAGGATGTTGTATTTGCTATTGATATACAACAAAATTTAAAACTTTTAAAATGTCTCAGAGATGGGCTGTTGTCCTCTTAATCACAAAATCAATAAAATCGCTTATTTGTTAACAAAAGATGGATGATTGCCAATGCTAAATAAACGACAAAAAATCCTGTATATTCGACAAAAATCGTTTTTTTATTATTAATATTAATATTATTATTGATTAATTTTTTATCATTGTCTTTTTGAGAAACCATGCATGTATTATGGTTCTTTTCACGATTTCCGATTATTTTAGTTTTTTCTTTATTAACCAAAGTAAGAAAATGTCCGTAGTTCTAACCAGCTTCCCAATCACCGTTTGAGGCAAATCCATCAAGGGGTTTCTGTGTTATGATCGAACACACACAAAAAAAAGACAAACAAAGATTACAACTTTACACATAGAATATGGATCTAGGTTGAACCAAAAATAACGAAACTTTTGAATACGACTGTATCATTTTTTAAAGTAAATACGACAAAAGTATGACGAGACAACCCTAAACCCTGCTGGGGTTCTAGAAAACACCAGGATACACGGGGGGGGGGGGTAATTTCCCCCCTCTCTCTAAAACCCATGTTTGGTGTTAAAATATATGACAAATGATACATCATTGGAAAAAGCTCTTATGCTTTACTTGCAAAAAAATGCAAATTTTCAAAAATTATTTTTTTGATAAAATCCAGTTATTTAGTAAGAATGTTTGCAAAAAAATGTTCAGAAAAGGATAAAATATTTTGAAAATCCCTTGACCATGCTATCACAAATATGCAAAAAAAAATGGCAAAATGTTAACTTAAACTGATGTGTAATTAAGAAAAATCAAAAATGTGCAAATTTCTTTTGATGGGTTGGATGGAATTAATTTGCAAATATTTCTTTGCAAAATTTGTGCAATCCATTTCCTAATTTCATAGGCTTTCCAAAAAGCTAAAAATGATCAAAATCTTCAGACAACTGGAAGTGGGTAAAACAAAGGTGTAGTTACAGGAAAAAGTAATTATTCAGGCAGTGGGCCAGAGAACTCAGGCAGATAGGCAGCAGGAATAGAGTTAAAAGCAAGCCAAAGACAAAGAAAGTAGAATCCAACATGAAACAAATAAAAGAATAGAAATATCGAATTACTTTGATAAGTAAAAAAAACTGAATAAAAAATGAGAAGGCATTCAAAGTACATTTTAATATTTTTAATTAATCAAAATTTGTATTGTANAACTTTGTAGATGAAAACTTTGTAGATGAAAACAAAAAAGAAGATTATTTAAATTTTTTATTACACAGCTTTTCATCTGTCTGTTCTGTAGGAAGCAAGATTAAACAACTTTTCAGTTGACAAAATGTCGACTTTTCAAGTTTACAAAAAGTGGGCTTTTAAAGTAAACTTTTTGTTGACATTTTTTGCCACTTTTATAGAAAACCTATTTATCACTTTCATACCCTCCTGTAGGAAGTAAGATAAAAAACGAAATAAGAAAAAAGGTTAAATATGATATAAGACAAATATAATCTACTCTTCTGTTTACTCCCACGTGAAACATGTTTTAAAGCCTACACCCATAATACGTCTAAACCCAATATACAGACAGATATTTTATGTACCATATCTACCTACTTAAAGGGATTAAAGACGTAATACACAATTGCTATTTTTTTAGATCTGAAAAAAGCGTTTGATACCGTAGATTTTGAGATTCTTTTAAAGAAACTTAATCACTACGGGTTCAGGGATAATACTAATCTCTAGTTTAGAAATTACCTTACAAATAGAACTCAATACATAAGTGTAAGGGATTTTTAATCTTCTTGCAAGGAAATCTTATGTTGTGTACCCCAGGGTTCAGTTTTAGGGCCTCTACTATTCCTTCTGTACATAAATAATCTTCCAGATTGTACATTGTTCTTCACTTTTTTATTTTCGATGATACTGGATTCTTAAAATCATCCAATAATCTAGAAACTCTTTTTCAAAAGGCAAATCATGAACTTTCTAAAGCATCTTATTGGTTTCAGGCTAATAAGTTAACACTTAATGTATCAAAAACCAAATATATTGTATTTAAAAATAAATCTATGCCATTTGATGATCAGGGTTATAATCTCAAAATAGGAAATAAAATTATTGAAAGAATAGGCTCAACTTGCAAAGATAAATATTTCAAGTTTGTCGGTGTAAAATTTGACGAATTTTTGAACTGGAATTATCAAATACATGGTATTTGTGCAAAATTATCTAGTGCAATTTTTGCCCTGAAAGCGTTAATTAGATTCTCCCGTCAAACATAAGAAAGATAGTTTATTGTTATGGTTTTCATTATGTCAGATTTTGTTAAATGCAGAAACGTTTTTTATAAGTGTTCAAATTTTACTTACTTTTGACTGGAAATGTCGTTTTCTGTCTGAATTAGAGATTTCTGCAAATATTGGAATTGCACTTGTTTTACTGGTTCACTTTAGATTGCAACTTTCATTTTCAGTTTAAAATCAGATGTCATCAATGCATGCAATTGGGATTAAGCAGGAGAATCACATATAAGATTTGTTGAATTTTTTCTTTTGCATCTTTTGTTCTTCAATATCAAATACACATTGTTTTTTTTATTTGAAATAAATCCCTTTTTATCGAATAAGAATAAAAAATACGGTAAAAAATTTATTTGATTTTAAAATCTTTATATTTGTATACCTTTGCCAACGAAAATGACAGTTATATGCCACAATTATTAAAATGCAGTGATTATTCAAAAAGAATTAGTCTTGAGGGCGCTTCGTTCCCCTCGTTCTTTTAATAATTTTAATTTAAATATTGCAAATAATAACAATTTAAGATTTGACAGATTTTTTCTGTTCTTTTGTGGATTTTTTAACAAATTTTGAGCTGAACATATAGATTGCTGTCTCTAGGTATATCTTCTATGTGTGTAATACTGGTTTACAAACAAAGCATATATTATGGTGCGTCATCAAATCTTGTTTTTCCTGCTTTTTTCACATTACATTTACATGTAATAAAAAACAACTAACTTTAACTTATATGAAATCATTTTGAAATCACTATTTCCACTTTCATTTTATGATATTGATAACGTGTAGCAATAGTACTGCACAGCTACAAGTAATGATTATGCGCGTAACAAACTACATGCGCCTTCTCTCCATACGAGCGCCAAGCTTACACTGAACTGTCTATAAGTGTTGCAAACTCAGCTACAGAAGTTTTGCGCGTGCGCGCCCCAAAAAATTAGTGGGTAGCTACAGAGTAGATAGATAGAAGAAGAATACAGGGTGGCCCAGTAAACAGGACTATAAACAAGATCAGAAGAATACAGGGTGGCCCAGTAAACAGGATTATTAGCAAGGATCTAAAGAATACAGGGTGGCCCAGTAAACAGGACTATTAGCGAGGATCTAAAGAATACAGGGTGGCCCAGTAAACAGGACTATTAGCAAGGATCTAAAGAATACAGGGTGGCCCAGTAAACAGGAATATTAACGAGTCCGGAAGAATACAGGGTGGCCCAGAAAACAGGACTATTGACGAGACCGGAAGAATACAGGGCGGACCACTAAACAGGACTGTTAACGAGACCGAAAAAATTCAGGATGGCCCAGTAAACAGGACTATTAACTTTAAAAAAATTTCAAAAATCGAATTTTTGTTTGAAGCAACATTTAGGAAATTCGATCATCCTTATTTTATGACTGAACTTGCATAACAAGCTGCCCACCTCCCCCTGAATTTACGTCAAAGTTCGTTATTTAGATCGACCCCCACCACAACATTATACACATACATCTAAAGAGTTTGTTTTTTATCTTTGTGACAGACACTATCTCAAGGATTAATAATTGTCTTAAAACATTTTTTTTTAAAGTGAATATTTGCATATTATCTTTTTTCAATCTCATAATCTGAGTTTCCCTTATGTCCATTTGACAACTCAAATTTTTTTTTGTAAATAATCTTTTTTGATTGTTTATTTTCTTGTGGGTTTTAACAATTATTTGATTTTTTTATCGATTTTCATAGTTATTACATCGTTAGAACTGACGATGGTCAACCCAGACCGAAATATATTTTCAATAAATTTGAAACTAACATCTACTTTTTTACTCTACAGAGATTTGGTCCATCACCATCACCGAATTTTACATCCTAAACGTTCCCTTGGATCACGCGAGGTCCCAAAAAAAGTTTGGGCCCGATCGGTTCAGCCGTTTTGACGTTTATTGGATAAAAATGAACAGACAGACAGACAGACAAGAAAAGTATATATAGATGATGATGGGGAATGGATTATGATAGGGATAATTTGGATTATGATGGGAAAGATATGGATTATAGTAAGGAAGATATTAGTTATGAAGAGGAAGATATAGATTTTGATGAGAAGATATAGATTTTTGTTGGGGAAGATATGGATTAAAGTGTAGAAGATATGGAATTTATGATGAGGACTGGATTATGAACTGGAAGATATGGTTTATAAAGGGGGAGATATAGATAATGATGGGGAAGATATGGAATATGATGAGGACATTGATTATGATGGGGAAGATATGGATTATGATGGGGAAGATATGGATTATGATGGGGAAGATATGGATTATGCATGGGGAAGATATGGATTATGATGGGGAAGATATGGATTTTGATGTGGAAGATATGGATTATGATGAGGAAGATATGGATTATGATGGGGAAGACATGGATTATGATGGGGAAGACATGGATTATGATGGGGAAGATATGGATTATTATAAAAATTCTATAAATTATGATGAGAGAGATTTTGATTATGATGCGTATGTGATGAATTTGAAAAATGATGAGATAGAATTTGTTTATAGAATAATGATTTTGCTACCAATAATTTCAATGGTTATGATTGATAGAAACTGCAAAAGATATGCAAAAGACATTATTTTTTTAACAACGCATTTTTGTATTTCTCAAAAACTCGTGAATAAATTTTTAATTTTCCGTAAAACTTACTTCAATCTGATTTTTCATGATTTAGATCAGGAATATTTTCAGGTTGATTAAATTCACAATATTATTTGTTAATTTTTCAAAGAACCCGTCACAGGACCTGATTTACAAGTATTTAATAAAAACAAATCTAATTTTTCAAGTAAAAAATAAAAAGATAATTATGCATGCATTCAAAGATTTGGAAAAAATGTAGACAACAGATATATTAAAAAAGAAATAAGAATAGAAAAAAAGAGAGAGAAAGAAAAATAGCTAGATAAACCGACTTGAGTTAGTAAAGATATTATTAGATAGGTAGACAGATATTTTACCTAGATAGACAGAGTGGTTTAGATGATAATATATACGTACCGATACACTGATAAATATATGTACATATATATATATATATATATATTATAGAAATATAAAGATTTGTGAACTCTGAACAGATAGAGGTCGTTAGTTAGACAGAAACCTATATAATTGATTAAGTGTCAAATCTTCCGCGACCTGAAACTATTTTTATTATCTTTATCGATATACAGGTGGGGTGGGGTGGGGGGGGGGGAGTGTGTGACACCCAAAGAGAATAGAATTATATTCTCTTTGGTGACACCAGTTCTCGTTAACTCACTGAAGTTAAGCACACTTGTCCACAGCCACTAGCTGGATTGGTATCCAGACTGGTGTTCACGGGTTCGATTCCCGTACTCCACAAAAAAATCTGAAGTCGACATCTGGTTAAGCAGTTATGACCACCTGACGGATGTAGGAGGACAGAGGGGCAGCTGTCAACAACTCTCGCAGCGAAAGGGTGCGTGCTTTTTACTCAACAAGAAAGAAGCTTTAAGTGGATTCATCCAAGTGAATGATGATGAAGAGAGGAAAGGTGGGCAAGCAAGGAGAGTCTATGGTTGCCAGCTATAAGTACCTGGAGGTTTCCAACTCGGGCTTACAAATGATTGGGGCAATGAGTGTAATATGTTTCCTGATTGTAAGGCACTCTAATACTATTCTCAGACCTATGAAGCCCTTAGGCAGCTGGAATCTTGTTAACCCTCTTCTCAGTATGAATGAAGCGTGGATGGATGAATGTGCTACCAGATTACAACCCCTGGTAGATCAATATAAACCCAAACAACACCAAACTTTCGCAAAAGAAAAATTATGAGATTTGATCGTATTCGTAACAACCCGATTATGTCCAAAAAAAATCTCTTTACATAAGGTATACCTGAAAAATATCTTGAAGGTACGATCCTCACTTTTTTCTGAGACACCCTGTATGTTTTGTTCATACGCCTCTAGGCTAATTTATACGATAATACTGGTACAATGTTGTAATATCGTAGCTCTCCTCTGGATCGGATTTAAAAAAATTCAATAAGCTGGTCTTGGAAATTTTGACTATGAAGTATGAAATATGGACATGTATGATACTCCCCACTCTCAACTCTAAGAGCAAAATCATATTGCTCGATTGGGAAAGGTTTAGTTTAATAAAAACAATAAATACTGTTTTGAAGTGTTTCATAAAATCTTAGCTCTTTTTGACTCAAATATCAACAAATAAATTTGGAAAAACAAATTGCTGAACATATTAAAAATATTGTTAAATAAAAAATAAAAATTATTCTATCGAAAAAAAAAATTTGAGAGTGTTAATATAACTGCTAGAATGTATATTATTTTATCTTTGAATGAATTAAACAGGGTGGATAAAAAACCTGATTAAAACCCGTGGTTTTAGCTACCTGCATAAATATACATATATAGATATATACAGGGTGTCCCACGAAACACGACATTTAGTAAATAGTTAATTTTAGGGGGAAAAAACCTTTTCCGTAATTATCTTTTACTTTGAAATCAATTTAAATATAACATGATTTCCGTATAATATTTTTATTGATCTTTGGTATCAAACAACTTGACAAATTAAGGAAAAAGACATTCTAAACTATTCACCAACTGTCATGTGTCGTGGGACACCCTGTATATAAATATATATCTTTCTGCCTTTCTATCTTTCTTTCTATCTGTGCACGGGATGCGATTCATGCGAACTGTTAAAATGATGCAGTATCATGTCTCGGCAAGATTTGAATGTCACAATTTTTAGTAAACTGCATGCATATCTGTATAACTGTGCAAAACATCTGCAAATGTCAAAATGTCAGAATATGAAGATGTATAATGTTAGCAAATAGTTTAGCCTTCAAAAGACTTGATTGTCATCGATTTTAAGAATTAACTAAATTATATTTATTTCTTAACCCTATCACGATTGGGGGGGCGTGTTGTTTATCCCCCCGCCCTGTGTTTTTTCTAAATAACTTAAACGCAGCTAAATCTTCTTGATTTTTTCAACTTCAACAAATTTTAGTTAAAATTTTTTTATGCAAGGGAGAGGGTAGAGGACCTTTCAAAAAATCCGAAATGGTTAATAACTTTTTTATTGAT